TTCCAGTCCCCCTTCCCAGCTCGCAGGCACCCCAAGCGTTTCCCACATTTCCTAAGGCTCATCTTGGTCCGGCCTGGCTGTGAYGTTCAGGAGTAGGCCAAGTTAACAGGTCCAGAAGCCAGGCAGGATTATCTACCTGAGACATGCTTAAGGGTTGAAGAGAAATTCAAGGCATCTTAGCTCAAATGGAAGGTAAATAGAAACTTAATGAATGATTCCATTTATTTTCAGTTCTGTAAAGAAAATCTAAGGGGAAAAGCTGTGGTGGGGCTTAGTGGTCCGTTTATTAGCTGTTCTCAGCTGGTGGRTTTGGCTTTCAGTTTTTCTTGGATTCAGGAATACTAGACCAGATTCGGATTTCAGGCACGACAGCGTGAGCCCCCACAGAGCTCAGCACAAACCATACCAAGCCACCAAGCTCAGTAGTCCCTGCTGGAAACATTCCCGAGCCGAAGTGCGGAGAGAGAGCCACACACGTGTGTGCAGTTCTGGAGCACAGGCCCTTTCCAAGCAGAGGCTGGAAGAGCCCCCATTCCCTCTGTCTCTCTCTGAGAGAGCTGCCCAAGCATTGGGAATGCAGTCACGGCTCTGGCACCAGGCTTTTTCCAAGGCGTTTGCCCCCGGCCAAATCCCATGGTGGGTTTCACACAAAGCCGAGTGAGGCTCAGGGAGCCCCGGGAGCGGCTGGTGACGCTCCCGCGCTACGAGTGTCACCGGGGGCCCTCGCCATGCCTGTGCCTGTGCCTATTCCTGTGCCTATTCCTGTGCCTATAGCTATATTTATGCCTAAGCCTATGCCTATGTCTATACCTATGTCTATATCTATGCCTGTGCCTATTCCTGTGCCTGTGCTTATGCCTATGCCTGTGCATATGCCCATGCCTGTATCTATGCCTGTGCCTATTCTATGCCTGTGCCCTGCTCCAGCATCTGTGGAAAGATGGAAATATTTCCTTGCTCGCCAGGTTATATCCCACGCAGGGTGACACGGCTGCATGTTGGGCAGCATTGCACATCACTGCAGTGCGGTGTAGGGGCTGGAGTGTGGATCACTTCTCTTGCCCCACAGACCTCTCCGTGTGCTCCAGCTTTGTGACGCCAATTCCCTTGAAAGCTGCTGCTGTTTATCTGGCTCTATGGCTCAGTTAGGTTTGATAATTCTGCGTGTTTCACAAAAGCGTGAATTTGAAGGTTGYTAGGGACATCCTTTCCAAAAACCACTTTGACCTACGGTGTGTTGCATTATCCCATGGATGATTCACAGAAGGAAGTAATCAAAACGTGTGCAGTTCCACCTAGTGCTAATTGCCTTTTCTCCTGAGTTTCTATCTCACTCTTCTTGCGTCCAATAAATATTGATTTCGCAGAGATTTAAAACTGTATTTCAACATATTTTGGAGCATTCGATGTGAATGACATGACTCTCTACGTCTTACCTCCAAATGTTCCCCCAACCCTGTGTCAAGTACCTTGGATTCCCAGCATGGCTTTTGGTGTCCTCGAAATGCCTGGTCTCAGCACGAGCGGCTGGGAGGTCAGCGAGGGGACGTTGGGGAGGTCTCTGGCCCTGGTATTTAGCAACTGGTTCATGAACACGTTGAAGAACAGCACGTGTGGAGCATATTTTTTTCTCCTTTGGGAGCGATACAGATGAACAGGCACGAAGAATGAAGTTTTCAACTGGTCTGTGATTTTTGGTTGCCYCTAATCCTGGGTGGCCCATGTGGGATGCTCCAAAGGAGCCTGRTTTCCAGAGGACAGCCACGGAACCAGTCTGCAAATACAGACCCCGCAAGGCGGCCTGCAGCCGGTCCAGGATCAGCCACCGCGCTTGGACAGTCTGGATCAGAGCGGCCAAGAGCTCAGTGCAGAAACACAGCCAAGTGCTTTGTGTGCTTGAAACCTCTTTTGGTTGTGAGGATCTGTACATTGTCAGGAAAGGACAGCCTGGACACGGATTAATCCCAACACAGACCAAGTCACTCGCAGCAATGACCRCTATCATCATACTGGTTTCACAGCTTCATAGGTTTTTAAGGGCAGGAGGGACTGTCCCATTTCCCAACCAGCACYGGGAATCCCAGGTCTTCCCCATCCCGGGTCTAGGATCCCCCTGGTTCTCCCAGGGCAGAGAATTGCGAGGCCTTTTCCATTTTGTGGCAGGAAACCTCCGAGCTCTTCCTGGCGTAACAGGTTTTCTCAGAAGCTCAGGCCACTTACCCCATTTGGCACAAGTGGATGTTTTACTTTGTTTTTCTAAAGCTGGAATTTTTCACCAAATGGAAATTCCAGGTTTCAGGCAGCTCCATTGCTTGGGCATTGCCTGGGATTGAATATCTGCAGGGGATTTTTCATGTAGGAAACTTGCATCCTAGTGTCTGGCTCTGTATTTCCAGCCAGCCCTCCCTGTAATCTCTGTCTTTGCTAGGTTAGAAAACTGCTTGGTGCCTTTTCCCCTGGAAGTACTTAACATACTGCATACTTACCGGCTTTGTTTGAATTTGGGTGGAAAGCAAACAAATAGGGACAGGTTTCCAAATATTTGGGTGCGAGGCATGGTAACGAAAACACAGTGCCCAAGCTGAGCCGCTCTGAGCGCTCTTATCCTGACGGGATCTCGACGGGGCGGAGAAGCCAGAGAGGGAAATATTTCCTTGAAGACGGCACGGACCAAAAGAGCATTGGAAATGATTAGTCTGTATTACGGTTATTTATAGCCTGTATACAAGTCTGTATTTATTGAGTGGGCTCAGGTTGGGTTTGCTCCGTGGGTCGCTGTGGATCTGGCCCATGTGTGAGCACGTGGGTTGACGTAGGTGCAAATCCCACCTGGATTTGGGAGCCTATCCTGGCATGCTGGATCCCAGGAGACCTTTGGAACGGGTCAGCTCAACGCGGAGAGAACCCCGTGTCCTGGCTCGGGAAGTCCCCTCGGATGGAAACGCTCCCGCTGGGAAGCAGCCCCTGCTTCCAGGCCAGCGGAGGGGCCGGCGCTGGGCCCGTGGTCAAGAGAAATCTCTCAGATTTCATGCTCCCGGCTTGCTCTTTTGGCAGCTTTCCTGACAGCTCAAGCTCACTTATAGCCGTGTGCATACAGATGTATGTTCCAGCCGCCCCGCTCRGAAAATCCCGGGGGAGCCAAGCATTGAACTCTGAAAAATACCTGCACTAACTTCGTTGCAATACGTAGAGCAGCAGCCATCTGAGAAACCATCTATCTATATGTATTTAAACAGCCATTACTGCCTCCTAGGTAAATAACACATGTTTTTTGAATGGTCTCTATACACAATAGACGCTAGCACAATAAATCCTAATTGCTCTGAAGGACCCATTAGGCTCCATCGGGTCAATAAATGGTGGGTTTTTTTGGAAGTTGCTCCCGGTGCTGTTACATAAGCTGCAGTTGGGAAGCCCGTAAATAAGTGTTTGCCCAACGAGGAGTGAGCGCCTTGCCAGGGCCGCGCTCATTTATCGTGTCAGCGACTAGGGCACTGCTTCCTTTCCAAGGGCAGATGTTGGAAAGCACGGCATGATGTTTCGGGAATGACGTATCTGGAGAGGTGCAGGAAAAGCTCACGGAGCGCTCGGAGGTGGAGGAGCAGCCACGGGCAGCACCCGGTGCGTGATCCTGCTCCGGCTGCTCCGCTCCATATCCATGAGAGCGCGGAGGAAACAGCAGCGCAGAGCGAGCCGGCAGATGCCTACCTGCCTCTTAATTGGATTTGATGGGGCCCCAGTGGAGCAAGCGCAGCTTTATTTACCAGCAGCCTCCAAGAATTAGGTCTGGCTGGAGGAGCAGTGAAACCAGGGCCAGACATGCCCAGAAATCTGGGCCCAGAAATCTGGGCATGGGCTGCCCTGTCCCCGTCTACCTCTCCGCCTCCAAACCTGCTCCCTGTCGCAGGTTAAATCAAGCCGACGTCTTGCTGTGTGTTGGGGGAAGGTTCTTGTATCAAGGCAAAATCCCGCCAGAAATGAGAATTCCTACTCCCGTCAGCCCTGACGATGCTAAAGRAGCCGCCCTGTGCCTTCTTGTCCGGGGGACGGAAATTGCGGAGCTGGTGGGAGCCGGGACGGGCCCTCACCGGGCACGTGGGGACACGGCCTCTCTGCCTGCACGACTTCATCCTGTGGGGAGAGGGCTATTTCCCTTCTCTTCCTCCTCCTTTTCCTCTTCCCCCTTTTTCTGTCTTTGTTTTTTCTTTTTTTTTCCTCCCCCCCCCTTTTTTTTGGTCTTTTATTTCTTCTTTTATTCATTTTTTTGTTTTTGCTGCAGTTTCTTTTTTTTTTCAACAATCTCCT